CTTCCTTGTGCTTTGGCTTGGCATGTTGCTAGGAGAGGTTAATTCTTTGAACAGGGATATCATTTTTGGGAAAGTGGAGGAAAGGAAGACCCTCAACCAGATGGAATGATACAAAGACTGCAGCAATTGGCTCAAGGGTTGTCAGAGATTGTCAGGATGGCACAAGACAGGACATGGTTCAGATCTGTTATTCATAGGGTCGCTATGATTCATATTCACCTCAACAGTGCCTAACAACAATGATGACAATGGAGAACCCTGGTGACCTAATTTGTAGGGACTTGGGCTGCTAACACAAAATTAATCAACGTTATTGCTTTTAAGTTAAGAACAATCTTCAAGTTGAAAATCTCTTCTTTTGTGCTAAGAGTCTAATTAATATACAAGCCACACTATTTTTACTTTTGTTCTCTATATTGTTGTTAGGTGTCATCGAGTCGAGTACTCAGGCTGACTCTGAAAATGATTCTGAACTACGACCTATCCTGTACCATCTTTGTACTTCCTGACATACTAGACCTCATTACAGCAGTCATCATGTCAATCCACCTGGTCAAGGATCTTCCTCTCCTTTGTCAATCCTCCAACTTTCTAAGAATCCAGGGAATAGCCCCTCCTAGCAATGTCCTTGAAGTATGTGAGGTGAAGCCTCGTCGTCTTTGCCTCCAAAGAACACTCCAGCTGCATCCTCTCCAAGAAATCTATTGACTAAGATTTTGTTAAAGATTTTGCATCTATATTCATTAGAGATATTGGTCTGTAGTTTTCTTTCTTGGTAATATCTTTTGCCTGATTTTGGTGTTACGGTTATGCTTGCTTCATAGAATGACTGGGCGTGTTCCTTCTTTTTCAATTTTTAAAAAATAATTTAAGTAGAATTGGTGATAGATCCTTCTGAATGTAAAATTCAGCTTTGAAGCCCTCTGGTCAGGACTATTCTTATTGGGAAGTCTTTTATGGCATACCTGTTTAATATCTTCTTTTGTGATGGGTCTGTTCAAATGTTCTATATCAGTTCTTGTCATTCTGGGTAGGGCATGTGTTTCAAGGAATTTTTCCATTCCTCTAGGTTTTAGAATCTATCCGAGTATAGATTTTCATAGTATTCCGATATAATTGATTTTATTTCCTCTAGTTCTGTTTCTATGTCAGCTCTATCATTTCTTAATGAAATTATCTGTGTTCTCCCCCCCCCTTTTTTGTTAAGTTTGACAGTGGTTTGTCAATTTTATTGACCCTTTTGAGAAACCAGCTCTTGGTTTCAATTACTTTTCTGTGTTCTATCTCATCGATTTCAGCTCTTATCCTTACAATTTCTTCTAGAGGCTGTAGGATTAAATTGTTGTTCTTTTTCCATTTGATGAGAGTGTTGCATTAGATCATTAATTTTTTTTCTTCTTTTTTTATGTGTGTGCCTATTGCTATGTACCCCCTAAGAACTGCTTTAGCTGCATCCCAGATGTTTTAGAATGTTGTATTTTCATTTTCATTTGTTTCAAGGAACTTTTT